TTCCTCAAAAAGTTAAAATAGAGCTACTCTATGACCCAGCAATTGCACCACTATGTATTTATCCAAAGGGTACAAACACAGTGATTCGAAGGGGCACATGCACCCCAATGTTTATGGCAGCAATGTCCACAATAGCCACAATATGGAAATAGCCTAGATGGCCAATGACATGAATGAGTAAAGATGTGGTGTATGTATGTATGTGTGTATACACACACACACACACACACACAGTGGTATATTACTCAGCCATCAAAAAGAATGAAATCTTGCCATTTGCAATGACATGTGGATGGAACTAGAGGGGATTATGCTAAGTGAAATAAGTCAGTCAAAGAAAGACAAATACCATATGATTTCACTCACATGTGGAATTTAAGAAACGAAACAGATGAACATAGGGGAAGGGAAGGAAAATCAAATAAGAGGAAAACAGAGAGGGAGGCAAACCATAAGAAACTCTTAACTATAGGGAACAAACTGAGGGTTGCTGGAGGGGAGGTGGGTTTAGGGATGGGGTAACTGGGTGATGGCATTAAGGAAAGCACTTGAAGGAGAGCAGTGAGTGTTATATGCAATTGAAGAATCACCAGTTCTACCACAGAAACTAATAATACAGGATATGTTAATTAAATTCAATTTAAATTTTAAAAAAATTTTAAACTGGCTTTATTCTCAAAACCCTTTTTTGTAAAGCATACCTGGGAGCCTTTTTACATCTTGGCAATATATTACATATCACTTATATTAAGGGAAGAGTTGAAATTTTTCACTTTAATAGGCAGCATTAAAAGTGTGCCGTTCTTTTATGAGTTGTAAAACAAGAAGAAATACCTGAAAATTTTAATTGGAACAAGTAAATATTCTTAGATTGCATTCATGTTTACTTGTATAGGTTTTGTTAATTATGAACACTTTCAAACATACACACAAGTAGAGAGAACTGCATAACAAACTCTTGGTGCCCACCCCTATTCATAACTTGCTGAATTATTTTAAGGCAAATTCTGGATGTCTCGGTAGACTGTTGTCCAGAATCATGTAGAAAGACAGATGCTGTGAAGCAAGAGGACAATTTTGGAGCCAGGAGATTGCTCTTCGTATCTAGAATACTATCCTGTACTGTTAACCTGAATGTACAGTTCAGTAGTTTGATCTTGTCTTGTTCATAAAATTAATGTAATGATAATGCCTCTGTTACTTCCCTAAAATAAAAGTGCAAGTCTGATTGACCAGACTGTTAGAATAATAGCTTGTACTTGTCAGTAAGGAGGTGAGAATTCATGATAGTGCTAATCAAAATTAAAATCTTAATCTATGGCTGTATCAGAATACTCTGAATGAAGATACTAAGTGTAGTTTAGAATTCTTAATGGCAGTATGAAAATAAAAGTCTTACTTTGTTAGGGCTGTCTCAAAGTATGTAAAGCACATTTTTCTTTCCATATCACTGTGAGGTGGAGGAGAAAATAATAACACTGCTGCATATGCTTGCCTAAAATTGAGTTGTTTCAGTTCCTTCAACAAGTAAATTGTGAGAAAAATAACAGGGAGTGAGGAGGACTTCAGAAGCATTATCAGCCATTATAATTTATGGAATTTAATTGATCCTGAATCAGACTTACAGCAGAAGAGTGAAAATTTTCAAAAGCAACATGAATTTTGAACACTGCTTATTTGATAATATTAAAAAATCACTGTTAAATATTTTCAAGCAAATAGTGTTGTGGCTATGTTTTAAAAGGAGTCTTTATCTTTAATATATACACACTGAAATATTTATGACAGAAGGGCTATGATGTCTCAAATTAGCTTCTAAATATGGTGGGGCTGGGCTGTGCACAGGGCCTCATGGCAGTAGATGACTGCTGAAGCTGGATGTGGGTGTGTGAGTGTCCTCTGTGCTCTCTCCTATGTATGTTCCATATTGCCCATAATAAAGTTTTTATTTTTTTAGGATTTTATTTTTATATAACTTATTTTATTTAAATTCAATTAGGTAACATATAGTGTATCATTTGTTTTAGATGTAGAGTTCAATAATTCATCAGTTGCATACAACACCCAGTGCTCATTACACAAGTGCCCTCCTTAATGCCCATCACCCAGTTACCCCATCCCCCCACCCATTTCCCCTCCAGCAACCCTCAATTTGTTCCCTATAGTTAAGAGTCTCTTACAATTTGTCTCCCTCTCTGATTTCTTATTTGATTTTTCCCTCTCATTTCTTAATAATTTTAAAATGTAGGGTTTTATATCTTTAATGTATTCTTTGTTTCAAAAAGAAGATATACAAATAAAAAATACAGAAATATGTAGTGGAAAAGGGAACATCCCCAGTCATCCCAGCTTTGGAACTCAGTATCATCCAAAAAGAGCAGTTTTATGTCCAAATGACTTTTTCCTTCAAATATTTGGAAAGCTTGTATTTTAAAGTGGGGCAGGAAATTTTATATTTCATAATCTTTAGACTTAGGACATTAAACTGAAGTACATTTGAAATTACTCCAAATATATTTTGTAGCCTACCCATTAACCCTTTATATACTTATTAATTGAAATGTACTTTCTTTCCTAGAATGGAATCTATAGAGAAAATGGAGTCTGATTTTAAAAACTGCCATATGTTTCTTGTAACCGTTTTAAACAAAGCTGTCTGCAGAGGATCCTTTCCCCATTGTGAGTATACCATGTTAAATTATTACTGCTTTTATATTTTCTTGTAGCTAAGTCTACTGTTACTGTTTTGGTACTAATCTCATGAAGAATTAGAATTTTTCACCATTTAAACCTAGAAAATCCTTCAGCAGTTGTGCCATACTTTGACTTGCTTTTTCAGAATTACAATGTGGTGAGTGAATATCAGATGTAAAACACTGAGACTAAAGATACTGCTTTTTAGTATATGATTTGTTACACCAGTGGATTTCTAGAACTATTATTAAATAAAGCAGATGGCAGAATAGATCTCAGTCATTCTTCACTATTCTTCACTATTATGTGTAGCTTTTGTAAAAGATAAGCATTATTTTGGGGTTTATTTATTTATTTATTTATTTATTTATGCAATTTCAAAAACTCCTGTACCCCTGTACATGTGTAACAGTTCAAAATACCATGTGAGGCAGACAGGTCTGTGGATTGAGTCACAGGGAGAAGATTTTTTTTAAGTGTGCAGGGTTAATCTCTTCCCTTTTTCTGCGTATTCTAATTGTGATGTACTAATTAAGAATATCTGAACATTTTAAAAAACACTATGTTAGAAATGTGTTAGAGGAATCATTGACTTATTTGTCCATTTTTGCATTGGATGATTGTTATGCGAATAGGATCCATTCATAGGTTAGAACATAGCATTTTGTTATGAACTGACTCCAGATTCTAAGACATAGGGGACAGCTGTGATTTGTTCAGTGAAATGCCAGATGTTTTGTTTTCAACATTAATCTGAAATACAAAATAAATCCTACTTTTTCAATTTGTATTTAATAAACCAATTATCATTTTTATTTACATTTAAAATAATCAATAATTAAAAATTGGAAAGTCATTAAATACTTTCAGTTCTGAAATAATTGAAGCCTTATTTTCAAATATTTAAACCTATTTTTTAACCTTATTTTTATTCTTTCCACAGTGGAATCTCTCGCACTGTCACTCATGGCTGGCATGGAACAAAGTTAAATATCTTTAATGTAGTAAATACCCAAGATTTGATCTTTATACATAAATAATTCCACCACATGCAGCTGAGAAACCAGAATCTCTATTTTGGTTCATTTTAAAAACTGTTGTCTACTATCGAGACAAGTACATTTGTAGGTGTTTTCTTTGATATTATTGGATAGTATATAAGGTTATGTGTATAAAATTATATCAATAAAGCAAAATGTATATAAGCTGTTCATACTTATATTTCCTACTGTAAGATACATTTATGGTATTGATACCTTTAAACGTGACTTATGTCATTTTTGGAAATGCAGTTAGTGGTATTAAAAAGAAAGCATTTTAAATTCTAGTCTCCTTTGCTTGATCACAGAAACTTTTATATAGTTTTTCTTTGTTTCTGTTTTTATTTTTTTAGGTCTTATTTAAATTCAAGTAGGTTAACATACACTGTATTATTAATTTCAGGGGTAGAATTTAGTGATTCATCACTTGCATATAACACCCACTGCTCTCCTTCAAGTGCTTTCCTTAATGCCCATCACCCAGTTACCCCATCCCTAAACCCACCTCCCCTCCAGCAACCCTCAGTTTGTTCCCTATAGTTAAGAGTTTCTTATGGTTTGCCTCCCTCTCTGTTTTCCTCTTATTTGATTTTCCTTCCCTTCCCCTATGTTCATCTGTTTCGTTTCTTAAATTCCACATGTGAGTGAAATCATATGGTATTTGTCTTTCTTTGACTGACTTATTTCACTTAGCATAATCCCCTCTAGTTCCATCCACACGTCATTGCAAATGGCAAGATTTCATTCTTTTTGATGGCTGAGTAATATACCACTGTGTGTGTGTGTGTGCGCATGTGTAAACACATACATACATATGCCACATCTTCTTTACTCATTCATGTCATTGGCCATCTGGACTATTTCCATATTTTGGCTATTGTGGACACTGCTGCCATAAACACTGGGGTGCATGTGCCCCTTCGAATCACTGTGTTTGTACCCTTTGGATAAATACATAGTGGTGCAATTGCTGGGTCATAGAGTAGCTCTATTTTAACTTTTTGAGGAATCTCCATACTGTTTTCCAGTGTCTGCACCGGTTTGCACTCCCACCAACAATGTAAGAGTGTTCCCCTTTCTCCACATCCTTGCCAACATCTGTTCTTTCCTGAGTTGTGATTTTTAGGCATTCTAACCAGCTCTTAGTTTCATTGATCTGTTCTACTGGTTTTTGTTGTTGTATATATATATTTTAAAGACTTTATTTATTTGACAGACACAGCGAGAGAGGGAACACAAGCAGGGGGAGTGGGAGAGGGAGAAGCAGACTTCCTGCGGAGCAGGGAGCCCAATGTGGGGCTCGATCCCAGGACCCTGAGATCATGACCTGAGCCAAAGGCAGATGCTTAATGACTGAGCCACCTTTTTTTTTTAGGATTTTATTTTATTTTTTTTTAACATTTATTTATATATTTATTTGAGAGAGCACAGTGGGGAGGGGCAGAGAGAGAGGGAGAGAGAGTCTTAAGCAGACTCCTCACTGAGCACAAAGCCCAATGCAGGGCTCAACCTCAAGATCCTGAGATCACGACCTTAACTTAAACCAAGAGTCAGACGCTTAACTGTGCCACCCAGGTGCACTTATGTATAATTTATTTCTGCTCTATATTATTTTCCTTCTCCTGGCTTTAGGCTTTATTTGCTGTTCCTTTTCTAGCTCCTGAAGGTGTAAGGTTAGGTAGTGTTTGAGACTGTTCTTGTTTCTTCAGGTGGGCATGTATTACAATATACTTACCTCTTAGGGCCACCTTTGCTGCATCTCAGAAGTTTTGGACTGTCATGTTTTCATTCTCATTTGCTTCCATGTATTTTTTTATTTCTTCTTTAATTTCCTGGTTTACCCATTCATTCATTAGTAAGTTCTTTAATCTTCATACATTTGTGGTCTTTCCAAATTTTTTCTTGTGGTTGACTTCAAGTTTCATAATGTTGTGAACTGAAAATATGCATGGTATAATCTTGATTTTTTTATACTTATGGAGTCCTGATTTGTGACCCAGTATGTGATCTCTTCTGGAGAATGTTCCATGTGCACTTGAAAAGAATGTGTTTTCCTCTGCTTTAGGATGAAATGTTCTGAATATATCTATTAAGTCCATCTGGTCCAGTGTGTCACTGAAAGCCATTGTTTCCTTGTTGATTTTCTAGATGATATGTCTATTGGTATGAGTGGGGTGTTAAAATCCTCTACTATTTCTGTATTATTATCAATGAGTTTCTTTATGTTTGTTATTAATTGATTTATATATTTGGGAGCACCCAAGTTGGAGCATAAATATTTATAATTATTAGATCTTCTTGTCGGATAGACCCCTTAATTATACTATAGTGCCCTTCTTCATCTCTTATTACAGTCTTTGGTTTAAAATGTAGTCTGTCTGTTATAAGTATGGCTACTCTGGCTTTCTTTTTTTTTTTTTTTAGAGATTTT